CTCCAGTCTGGGCGACAGAGTGAGACTCCAACTCAAAAAAAGAAAAAAAAGAAAAGAAAACTGGTTATTGCTACTACAGTGATTTGTGATTGGCATGTCAATTGATTTTTTGATAATCTGCACATCAGTTGTCAATATGTAGATGAATGCTTCTAAAAGGACGGAAATCATTTGTTCTCTTCAGCGGGCTAGATATCTCTCCCGCAGTCCTGCCGTCCTGAAACCACCTCTCTCTCACCTCCTGTAGCCCATCCACCCATTCCTGCTCCCACCCCCCACCCACGTCCACCCAGTCCCGGGTCAGGCCTCCCGGTCAGGCCTCCCGGTCCAACGCTGCAGTCTTGTGTCTTGCCCCTCAGCCTCTTGCCCTGCCCCCCCCAACCATACGCCCCAAGGGCACCCTGGTGACCTTCACCATCCAGAAGGAATGTTCTAGTTCTTATGGAAAAACTTCCCATTACCTGGAGTTACCTCCCAATCATCTCTTTTCAGGAGGAACTGGGAGGCCCAGCACAAGCCACGTGCCAGCAAAGGTTTCTTAAATGCAATTGAAATATGGAGAAAGGAACCAACATTTGTTGGCTGTCTTCTCAGGGCCAAACTTTTTACAGAAATTACCTAAGTACCTCATTAACACTATTGTTTTGAAAATTAATTTGATAATGCTTACGAAAAGCAGTTCCTCACACTTAGTTGAATGCTATGATTATAATAATTATCCTACCAACCACAAAGACACTGCTTGCAATGTCTCTGTGACTGTTACCATTATTATGAGAAAACGAAGGCTCTGTCTTCTCCCTGCCCCACTGGCCACTATCCCCTGCTCCCTAATTTTTCTCCTTGGTCCCTGTTGGTCTAAAATCTAGAAATTGCCTTCCTCCTTCCCACTTTCTAGATTCAAGCATCTTGGAAACATGGGCTCTCAAACTTCTTGAATCACATTCTCTTAGACTTTTAAACTCAGAATCACAGAACACAGAAAGCAGAATGCTAGCTGGGAAGGAGGGTTCGCACTCAGTGCAGGAATTCCCTCTCAGCACTGGGGACTGGCCCCTGGCACATGCCTCCAGAGAACAGGAGCTCAGGGGCCACTCCTACCCTTTAGCAAGTTTTCTTTAAATCTGAAATCAGCCTCCCTCTGGCTCCTCATCCTTCTCCTGCTGTGCCCTCTTGGGCCTTCCAGGACAAAGATCTGAGGCCATTGTCATTGTCATGATGCCTTCAGTCTGTGCTCTGAGGGCGACTGAGGACCATAAGACACACGGTTTAGTTCCCTCCCCGTTTCCTTCCCAACCCCTCAAAGTTAAGGGGCTATCAAAGTTTTTGGCCCTTACATTCCTCAGCAAGGCAGCAGGGCCCGGCTGGCCCATATCAAGTGAGCTGTGTTTATCTCTCAGCCTCCACTGGCAGAGCGGGTGGGACACAGGCCCAGCTGGGGTGCTGGTAGGAGCCAGCCCAACCCTCCAAGGAGTGAATAATGTCTTTCTTCCTTAGTCCCCTTCCCCCACCAGGGAGGGAGTGATTGCAACACTGCCACCACCTTAAGTCTCAGTCTATGGCTGAAGAAACCCCATCCTACCTTCCTTGGAGCAGCCCTGTAGCCTGGGCCCCTGTGCCAGTTGGCACCCCCTCCACCTCATCGCCTGCTCAGAGCGTGAAGACATAAAAAATGCCTCAGCCAGCACCTAGGCTGGGAGGCCCCTTCCCCCCACCAATAAAGCTGGCAGAGACTGAGCATGTGGGGGGTCTGGCAAGAGGCCTCCTGTGGCCACAATCCCACCCCCCACACCCTTAAAGGTGAGAGGCACAAGGAAGGGTGGCATTGCCTGGAGCTCACTCTTCCTCTAGGGAGGTGAGTGCCCGAGGCCATGCCAAAACCAGGCAGGAGGCCAGGTGGCAGGCCACCTCAGTCCCTGCCGTCTTGGCACTAGCCCCAGGCCTTGGACATGGCTAGTGGAAGGAGCTCAAGCTCCTTAAGCCTGCAAATTCAAAGTGTGATGTTCAGAAAGACTCTTTCTTCCTTTCTCTGAGCCTCAGTTTCCCATTTGCTAAATAAGGAGGAGTGTGAACTATGACCCCCAAAGACTTTCTGCCTTGATAGCTTACGAATCTATGACTTCAACATTCTAAGACTCTACAGTTCCAGGTTTCGAAGATTCAAGATTTGAAAATTCCATATTTCTAAGAACCCACGTTTCATTAGGACACAAGGCTTCTAGAACTGTATGACGTTATGGTTCTAAGATTTTATGATTCCAAGAGTCTGTGATTCTCAAATGTGTTCATGGTTCCATACATCCCAGGCTCTCAGGGGGTCCAAGGTGGATTGAGCTGAGGTTCAGGGAGCCAGTGGGGCCACTCCTCAGTGACATCATGGAGGAGGCACCTCCTTCCCTTCCCATACGCCCCCTTTGGTCCTCTGTGGCCTTCCCACTCCTCGCTGACCCTGCCCTACTTCCTCTCCCAACCCACCTCCCACCCCCCTGTGCCCACGTGTCTCTCCCCATCTCGGAGACCAAAAGTGCCGTCTCTCAGGGACCTTCTGGAGTCAGAAAGACTGTGGTTCAAATCATGGATTTGGCTTTTATTTGCAGCTTGAGTATAGACAAGTTACCCAAACATTTCAGGCCTCTGTTTCCACATCTATTAAATGGAACTAGTAATAATCTCTACCTCTTATGGTTACTGTAGAATTAAGTCAGATAATATACATAATATGCTAAACGCCTGACATAAATTATATGCTCAATTAAATAGTAGGTTAAAAACAAGCAGACAAAAGCCATATCTGGACACTGACCCCACACTTGCATAACAGTCTGTCTCTCATGGTGTTTTTTTGACTCCCAAAACTCTATGCAGCAGTCCCAGGCACCTCTCAGGGCATGACCATCATAGTCCACACTGAGGCCAGATGTCCCGGGCCTCACAAACTCACCAATCCTGTTTCCTTTGGGCCCCTGAACTCTTCTAGGCCCACCCACAAGCCAAATCAGTCTTCCTCGATATCACCTTGTGCCCACAGACCCCTCGCTGGGATACACCAGTGAAAGTGGCTCAAAAGGCTGGAGGAGAGAACAGGAAGGCAGGAGTGAGAGGTAAGAGATCAGTCTGGAGAGAGAGGCAGAGACTCACTGAGGGCAAAGAAAAGTCATAGAAAACTTTAAACTGGGGGAGTCCCATGCAAGGGAACTCTGGTCACAGTAATGGAGAACTGATTGGAGGTGGAGAGACCAGAGAGTGGCTACTGCGGTCATCCTATTTTGAGTGAATGCGACACCTGGACCAAGATGGAAGTGGTGCCAATGGGTAAATTCCTGACTTGAGGAACACTTCGTAGGTACTGTGGGCAGGCTTTGGAATAGACTGGGTAGGATGGGGGTAAAGATGGCGAAGGAGGAGTCAAGGATGGGATTGAGGTTTGGGACCTGAACGCATGGGTGATATGGGCACTTGCCACAAAAGACAGTCAATGCTTTCATCATTAGTACCACAGTAGCCCCCCTTATCCTCGGATTTGGATTCCAAGACCCCCAGTGGATGCCTGAAGCTGCAGATAGTACCAGACCCTATATACTCTATGCATGAATTTCTGTGGCCGTCTTCACAATTTCACAGATAGAAGATTCATTCTTACTCTAGATCTTAGCAAGCTCAGCATATAATTTTTTTCCTTTCCTTATTTAGATGAGAACTTTCACTTTTTTACTTAAAGACAGCACTTTATGTCTTCTCTTTGGCATGTCTGAGTTGCCGATGTGACTACACTCGTGCTTTGGGACCATTACGAGAATAAGGGTTTCTTGAACACAAGCACTGCAATACAGCAATCTGAGCAGTCGATCTGATTACTGGGACAGCTACTCAGTGACTAATAGGCAGGGAGTGTCTACAACATGGACAGGCTTTTTACAAAGGGATGACTCACATCCCAGACAGGATAGAGCAGGATGGCAAGAGATTTCATCATGCTGCTCAGAATGGCATGCAACTTAAAACTCAAGAATTCTTCATTTTTGGAATTTCCCATTTAATATTTTCAGGCTGAGGTGAATCACCAGGAACTGAGACCTTGGAAAGTAAAACTGCAGATAAAGGTGAACTGCTATAGTCATATTACTTCCCATCATT